TCGGTCGTTAGTAGTTCAAATTTCTCAATATATTTTAATATCATCCGCATACTGTAGGAATAGTAAATTTATAACAACTAAAGAGACATCGTTCACAAAAATAGAGAATGAGAGAAGGCCTAAAACAAATCCCTGGGGCACCCCGAGTTTGTTATGTAGGGCCTGAAGGCAGTATGATTAACGCGTCCTTGACTGCCTACCAGTATGCAATATACAATACAATACAATGTACAATGCAATACACAATACAGTATACAATATTCGATCAAATCACGCAGAGCGCGGCAGGTCTCGAGCATCTTTTTGTCGCTTTGCGGGCAATGACGTTGATGCATTCGCCGATAAAAATGACCCCCCCAAAAAAAATCACACCGCTGGACATGTGAACAACATAATAGGACACGTCTTGTGTTTCTTAAGGTTAAGGTGTTTACACGTCAAATCGTAAGATGGCAGTCTGGAGCATATATTTTTTTTTACTTATGTAAAAATATATGTAGGAGCCATAAAGCTATACGCGAACGCCGTAGCTAATGTTCTTCCGAAGATATAAAATTTCCAAGATCGAGGGGTGGAGATTGCCAGGGTTCAGCAATGGTAACTCGCACAGCTGTCAATATCACACCGAAGAATGCAGGCCGTAATTATTTGCTCTACTCGTTTTATGAAAGGTCTGCGACACGAACACAAAATATTAAAAATTACTATATAATATTTCTGTGCAAAACCATTAAAGAAAAAACTTAAACATGCTTTAGACCCATTCATAAATTATTTATTAAACTACAACTTTATATAAAACTACGAAACATATAAGAAACTGATGATCTTTAATTGGAATTTACGAAGATATATAAGCAACATATGCTTTGTCGTTATTGAATTTTTGTTATTACCGTATTTACTCGAGTAAAAGCCACGTTGTTTATGAAGAAAACCTGGAGTTCGCTTTTCCGCGGAGCACGCGGATTGCCAATCACCGCGATCGACAGCATGATTACAGCTGTTTACAGGATAGAGCTAACATCTTCGCGCGAAGATACCATCTATGAAGATCTCATTTGCATGGAGACTCATATTCTCGATCTGGTTATTCGCTATGTTATTTATGCGCAACGCGATGATTGGCTGTATATGTGTTCTGTGGGGAAAGTAAACACAAGGGCCTTGTTCATAAATAGTGCGGCTATTACTCAAGTAAATACGGTAATGCGGAAACGGAGCTCGTTTCCCTACTTGCAACAAAATTGAACGTCCCTTATTTAAAAAAAAAACAACGTATTTTTTTATTTTTTTTTGTTTTTTTTTATTATTTATATTGACTTGAACTAGCTTGTAATGGCAAAACAATTAAGTAGCCTATGACGTCCTTAAGAAAAAAAACGCCAACAAACCTTCACTCGATTTGAGCTAGCTGGTCTTCGTTGCCGCACAATGTGTGTTCTTAAGGGACGTTTTCCTGAATCGACCAAGGCAGTACAGCTGTCCTGTTTTATCTTAGGGTGTAAATGGTAATGGTTTCCCTAGTTTAGACTTATGTTTGCGTTTGCTTGCGTTGCCTCTTAAGAAGATCCCCCCCCCCTTTCTTTTTAAACCACGTCGACACTGGGTGTATTTCCCGGAGCCCCGTAAAAGGCTGGTCCTGCCTATATCGGATTAATGTGGCTGTATTAAAAAATTTCCAATTATGCACACATTTTATTTGAAATGGTACAATTAAAGTTATTAATTCTAACGTTATTGCTAAATGTAATTATTCACTAATTATATCAAACACTTATTTTTTCTGAATTTGCTCTCTAGCAGGAACCCATATCACAATAGCCCTTTTTCTGTCCGATCCGTACCTTTCGAAGAAACGATTTGGCCCTCGTTCCGTGAAGCATTCTTTATGTGCGGCTGAGTGCTTCTCCCATGAACGTGACTCTCACTAAGTATATATTATACAAAAATTCACTCGGATCATCATTGCATCAGCCGACATGGAAACACTCAACAACAAGAGCCTTGTGGTTATCAATTTCGATAAGTATTTCATTGGGTACGCACGGATACCCACTTAAGAGGTTTGTTTATACATTAAATGGAACATATAAAACCGCGGACAACTTTCACAGACAACCACACTCTTTCATTTAGCAAAGACAAATGAAAAATTCTTGGGTTGACCAGAACGGGGAGGGCTGAAGGAAAGCAGGTTACAATCGGGAGAGCCTCAAGGATTGAGTCACCGTAGCCTGACTGCCCATGTTAATAATTTTTCTTTTCCAGTTCTTGCCTGATAAATTCTATTTCACATCTTTCCAGGAATGACGATGCAGATGAGACGTTAATTTTGGCTTTTTTTGGTAAAGACTGTTTCGACGATTTCACTTCCGAATCTCTGATGATGCGTTCCCAGGACCTTGGTTCTTCCGAAGTTCGGTGCGCACCCAAATCACTTCTTCGCGTGAGCAGCGATGGGATGCGTGGGATGATTGACTTTAGGTGTAGCCTCATTTTGATGCTCTCGTAGGCGGTCGTTTACGCATCGTCCAGTTTACCCATTGTATTCGGCTCCGCACTTAAGAGGCACCGAATGCACCTTCTCGGTCACCCACTCTCTGAAGTGGGTGTGGTTTTTTTCTCTCGGTGGCTTTTGCTCCTTCTGAACAATCATACTGCACAGGCTCGCCAGTCTGAATATGCAGCAGAAGACAACTTTCGTGTTAAAGCGGGCTTGTCTTCAAACAATGTTGAACACCAAGATACCAACTGTCCGAATACTAATTCCCTCGCCTTTTGTTTTCGCGGCAGGAAACCTTCCTCCGGTGATGGCCTTGGGCTTCACGGTAATGTGCAGCGCATACAGTCCACAACTCCCGGCATTAGCAGCATCCGCCGAGGGTCCTTCGTGAGCTAACGGCCCGTGGAAGGGGATGGGAGAGTCTTCGCAGGCAACGTAAAAACACGCAAATATAAAAATACTAAGCTAGGGATTGCCTGACGTTCGGTACCGCATGATAAAGCAGCACCGCTGTACAGACTTTGTCGGTTTTAAGAATTGTCTCCTTGGAGTAGACGTCGTGCGGCAAATCCCCTATAACAAAGACAAGCTAGCTGAATTTCAGTGAAGGTTTGTTGTCGGTTTTCTCTTAAAGGGCCCCTGAAAAGAAAACAAAAAGTTTAAACAATTTGGTCGGGACACAAGCGTCAAAAAAAAAAAAATTACGGGAAAAAAAATTAGGGCGATATTGACGGCGAGAGATTTATTTGAAATCCTGCGCGCGAAGTCCATGACGTCACTGGTCATTCTGGAATGACCATCTCGGTCGTGAAGGCGAAGCCGCTCCAACCTCTCCTCCACGCGGGATTAGAGGGCGGCCGCCGAGGCACCGAGGTATGGCGTTCTCCGAGGCAGCAGAAACGGCTGTCCCCGCTGTCTCGAAGGCTGTCCAGGACGGTAAATCGCGACAATCACCACTCCAAATTCAAATGGGAAAACGCCGAGGCAGCCTGGATCCAGCAGTTCTAACTACGCAAAACAATTTGACTTCAAGGCCTTTGGATTTTCTTGCAGTAATATGTATTCCCTAAACTTCGTTCACCTTTAAGTAGAGACTGCGGTGGGAGATACGCTCTCGCCAGACCAAATAAACCGCCTGCTTTTCATCACCTAAATCAGCTCTCCGCGCGAGGATGTGAACAAGAGCGTGATCATGGGGGTAAGTATTGACGTATCACTGGTCCAACGCGTTCATAGCTTCCACCCCAGTCTCGGATTAGAGGTGAAAAAAGTATATTGTGTCTGAAATGCCAAGGCTTGATTTTAAATGGGCCGCTTACATCGGCGCCTGCACGTGGCAATCTATACCTTTCGTCAAAGATGTACTTACCATGTGGGATTTACCTCGCAAAATTGCTGGGCGAGCTAACGTTTCGAGAAACATAGTGGCAAGAAAATTCAAAGGGTCAACGACGGACGGCGACGCAGACGACCGAGCCGAATGGCGCGGGGCGCTTTGGCGCACGCATCGATACATGGCGTCGGGGTAACGCCGGAAGATGGAGCCGACCGGCGAAAGGGCGCAGACGACACGCATACGAAATCCGTGAGTAGCAAGGGCGCCGTCCTTGTGCAACCGTGTTTTCTTTTTTGTTACTTCAAGTTTTGATATCATTGACCACATTTATTTTTAAACCAAAGGTACATTACTAAAATATTACGTTCATATTAACACACGACGGTCGTCGCAAGCAGTCACAACATTTTTTTTTAACCAATCCGGAATAAGGAGGTAGCGCCATCAATCAATACGTCCACAAAACGCGCCCCGCCACTCAACTCATTCGTCTAACTCGCCGTCCACCCTTGACACTGGCAAGCTTTTTTTGCACTATTTTTACAGAGAGTGAACTACGCCTTTTAATTTTAAAACCTGTGTCTTACCTGTCTCTGAAATTTTACAATTTCACAGGTAGGTGAAAACATCCTCTGAAATACACATTTAACGAAACGTTTAGAGTGTTACCTGCAGGCGCCGATTTTATGGCCCATTTTAGATCGAGCTTCCGTACTTCAGACACCCTATATAATATTGTAAAGTATTTGCTGTGAGACTGAATCACGACGACTCGCCGCCCGTGCCAACTGCGGACGCTGTCGTCGCTTTCCGGCGCAGGGACTTGCGTTGCTTTTTCGGTTGATGAGTTGATAAATGATGTAATGAATTAAGCTTTTTTTTATTCTCTTTTTTAAAATGAAGTATCGCTTGTCAACTGCGCCGCCTAAAGTACCTCACCGAATGGGTTTTTCGAATTGGATGCGGGAGAGTGTATAAAACGGCAGGTCGGATGGCAAAGCATTTTCTACGATTCTGGCACTATTGATTCTAGCTCGGTAGCATGGAAAAGCGAGATAGTTTCACAAGCCACTATATTTTATTGTTTCACTAGCCACTGCGTAAAATCTTGAATAATTAAATACTTTCAAAGCAACATTTAATATAAGAAACATTGTATGGTGTTTGGATATTTTATTTACAAGTGTTAGCCATTTTAAGCACCACTGAAGATCTGTGACTTCCTTTCAAGCCACCTGCTTCCTTCCCTTGGCAATATACTTGGCTCCGATTAGCTCCATCGTATCGGCAAAGTCCAGCATCAATTGTTGGTAAGTTGTTTTCTCGTCAAGGGAATACATTTCGAAAGCCTTCTTCACCTTCCCTATTTCCTCTTCAAATTCAACTTCTATTTCTTTGATGAAAGCCTCTTTTCCTGTTTTGACGAACGCTTTGCAGGCCTCTTTGAAGGCTCTCTTGACAGCCCGCCAGAAGCGCTTGAAACCTGAAACCTGTAACGCAAAGGGAATGGGTTTATGTTTCATGTGTTTGCTATATATTTTAATGACATTATCGAGTTCCCTGGGAGCTCGTTTTGTCAAAATTACTTCCATCTTGTCTCTTTGGTCATTGCTTTAAATATTATAGTAAAATCGTTGGTTTACAGATACGAGTCTCTGAACGTACGACCGATTTTAAGTTCAGTATAGAGTTTGTTTGCCACCCAACATGAACACTTGTGGTTGTTACATTGAAATGTACGCGCATGTGCAAAAAGTGAGGTAGGCGTGCCGCCCACCTCTACTTGTGGCATGAATGCGGGAAGTTACTGAAAAGTGAAGAATGTGCCGTTCTCCTCTTTTTGAGCGCGTCGCAAGACGAAGCGCTCACTGGACGTGCCGCAGTTTTCACAGTGCCTTCAAGAGGAAGACGTTGACGAAGAGTGAATCACTAAACAGAAGGGGCTATATACACAGTAGGATCATGCTCAACGTGCCAAAAAGACGCCGAAGAGTAGAAAAAGGAGGATAGAGAAGCATATGTCTTCGTAGAAGAAAGCAATGCTATCGCATTTCGACGTCCTCTGCATCAAATCGCTGCATTTGACCAAACATGCCTTTTATTAAAACCATTTCTGAAATGTTTAGGCACATAGTTGAAAACATTCAGCAATCACTGTTCATTAAGGTTTGGCGTGTCCTGTATTCTTATCATATTTCCAGCAAAAGACAGTATTTTAAAACAAAAATGGAATGGACAAGCAGCATTGTAAAGCAAAAGACAAAGTGGAGATTTATATAACTGCATGAAATAAATCGAACGAATCAAATCATTAACATCATCAATGACGGGGATCAGTATAAAGTCTATCATCTGGAATACAAGAACGCCAGTCACAAAGCACCTAGAAAATTTTATAATGAAGATCTGCCGTAAATATTGCCAAATGACCCGCGAATCTTCTGGAGCATAAATGAACCCCAGAGATTCATCTGGTTTAAACTTGATAACAACTAACGGGATTCTTTTTCTAAAGAGTGAATGTGCGGATGTTCTTAACCACACATTTGCTACTATGCTCCGCGACAACTTTTCTTGGCAATGCAGTGGAAGGTACACGCCCGCGTCCCCGCTCCCATTTTGAGTGTGCGAGGGCTCTCCTCCTCTCCCCGGAAATGGGGGAGGAGGAGAGCCTGCGTACACTCAAAATGGGAGAGGGGACGCGGGCCTGTACCTTCCACTGCATTGCCAAGAAAAGTTGTCGCTGTATTTACTAAAAATCGCTCTGGAGTTATGCCAACTTTTCTTCCTCATTATTTCAATACAATGTCAGATGTTAACACGCCCCCCTATGGCGTTCTTAACTTAATTAATAACTAACAAATGTTCTCATCAGAAGGGAAGATAATATCAGCTATAAATTATTATTATGTACAAAGAAAATTTACAGTCTGATTGGAAAATTGGCAAGGCCATTCTGGTAGACAAAGGTGGCATAAAGGTTGACGTCAAAAATTATAGGCCCATTTTTTTCTAGTAGTTTATGCAAATCACTGGAACATGTAATATATTTCCATGATGTAGATTTCCTAGTTGTTAATACACTTTTTTCTATTCGTTAGCACGTTTTTTTTTTAACAATTTCCTGCGACACGCAATTAGCTGGCTTTGTTTTTGACATTCACTCTAACGTTGAAACAGCCTATCACACATGCACCATCTTTCTTGATTATTCAAAACAATTCAATCGTGTACCTCACCAACGTCTACGCTTTAAGATTTCAGCACTCAGCATTGATCCTAATATTATAGCATTGAAAACCGATTTTTTAACAGCTAGGTCTTAATATACTACTGTCAATACCTCTGTATCTAAAGGTTTCCTTTTACTTATGTGATCCCACAGCGCAGCGTTTTGGGTCCTCTACTATTTTCTATATACATTAATGACCTCGATAACACTTAAAGTGCATTAGTACGACATTTTTGTAGAAGACTTCGTCATCTGTTGTTCTGTCGGTTACATAACTGATGCCGATGCTTTGCAGACTGGTTTGCTGACAATACAATCGTGGTGTTCCGCATGGTTAATGTTATTAAATACTAACAAGTGCAAACATGTTCTTTCAGCAAAAGTAAATCCAACTTTCACGTGACTTGCTATATTAACGATTCTCCACTTGAGACTGTCAAATCATTTAAAGACCTGGGCGTCCACGTCACATCGGATCTTTCATGGAATGTTAACCTCAATTATGTCCTTTCTAAAGCCAATCGTAGCCTAGGTTACTTCGAATGCAATTTTTTAACTCCCCTTATTTTCTAAAACGTCTAACATACGTGTCACTGATCCATCCTATTTTGGAATCTACTTTTAGTATTTCGAACCACACCTATTGTTACCTAACAAAGTCCCTGGAAGCATTCCAAAACCGATCCGTGCGTTTTTTTTATTCTAATTATTACGTAGCACGAGTGTCACTAACTTGAAGCTTTGTGCGGATTTTCAACCTTTGCAGTTTTGACGTAGTGTCTAAACTCTGTCTCTTTTATAAAATGTAGTATTCTTCAGCACTACGTTCATCTTCACGCGCATCATCCTTCTACGTTTCTGCTCGTCTCGATAACTCTAATAACACGGCCCTTTTTATTTGCCCTTCAGTTTATTATTCTCGCACTTTTTCACCTTCAACCATTGTGTACTGGAACAGTCTTCCTGACGACATGATTACCATGACTGACCCTCTTAAATTTCTTCAAGCAAGTTTTTATTATTGGAAACTTTGCTAGTGTTTTCCGTAACGAATCGTGCTATAATTAATTACTTTCTGTAAGTCTGTAATAATTTGTGTTCATTTCAGGTTGTCGAACTTTATTTTTATCGTTTGTGTACATTTCCCTCCTTACATAATGCCCTTTATGGGCCTGTAAGGTACTGAAGTAAATAAGTAAATAAATATTAGTCAAACCCAATCAGTCTGCCTTAGACAGATTTCTCTATATATAGTACATTTGGGGCTTATGATTCAAGCATCATTTTCGTAGGTAAGAAACTATGAGCCTTCAGCCGCATTTTATTTTAAAGCTCAACTAACCATTCAGTACCGATGTTTCTAAAATGTAGACAACATTTTGACTTGGTGTGTATCAGTTTTGTTTTATAGTTTATACACAGATCACAAGTGTCCTACCTTTTTTCCCCTTGCGTGAGGAGCATTTGCTTCATCCTTTAATTTACGGCCAATCTCTTGGTATATCTCACCCTTCCGGAGATTTGGGTCGCTTTCGCTATCCGTGTCAGGATCCTCAGCTCTGATAGCATCCTCCACTTCTGCAGGAACGTTTCCAGAATACACTTAAAACACATTTGTTCACACAAAGCGCGCAGTTTTATTAAGCATATAAGTATATTTCATACTCTACCTTTTTCAATCGTTAGATCAAGTCTGTAAAAAAAGCAATTAATGACATATACATTCATTCATTCATGTATTTATATTAATGAAAATATTTGACTCACGTTGGAATAGCAGCTGTAAAGAAAATAAAAAATGTGAGAATATGTCATACTAATATTATTTCATTAATTCATTTTTCTATTTGTTGTGTTAATGAACAGCTCGTATCCTAGTTATGGTGCACAAAGAAAGAGATTACAAAATTGTTCTGAGACGGCTGAAATGCCAAAAAATTTGAGGCAAAAACGTCCATATCCGCTGCACCACGCGCGTAATACAGGTGTCATATGCGGGTCATGAGAATATTTGACCGGTTTGATTAATCAGAAAAGTAGAAAAAAACTCGAAATACTCGCTTTGGAGGTGAACATTAAAAGGTTGCGTGATATCAGTACAATGAAATAATTCATAAAGGTGTTTATGCGAAAATAAACATATCTCGCTCACATTCTTTTATACTTAAAGCAAAACAATTGCATTGTTTCAAACGTATCTTATATTCGTAATAAGGTATACGACCAATATTACGAGCCTAAAAAATCGAAACTCTTTAAGCAATTTCAATTACCACTTCGCTGTACAGCCAATATAGTTCCAGACAAGAAAGGAAATCCAGCATGAACAGGATTAGAGGAAAGCATGATTGTAACATGCAGGATTTTGTAAAAATATCACGAGCAAATCTAGAAAGAACACCATCCTACGAAACTTTTTATTAACTTTGATTTGCACACTGCCTTAACGCATTCCAACAAGTAATGCCTATTTTGTATTTTTATTTTCGTAGTATAACGCCAAGGGTATAAATGCAATGTTATAGTAATGTAAAACGTCCGGTACTCACCTGCCGATATGACAAGGCAAAGCACAGCAAGCAGAAGAAGCTTCATTGTTCTGAAATGTCATACCATTGTTAAGACGCACTGTTATTTTAGTGACTTTTTTCAGTCTCAATAATTCCTCTACTCTGAAAACCAGAGAACTCCTGATAAAATAAATATACCATTGAACGTTTTTGGCAACGTCTTCTAATATACTTGCATAACAAAATCACGATATAAAGATGTTTAAGTTATGGGGTTTATAAATTATGTGAATATCGTACTAAACTTCACTGGCTTATTTCATTTCATTATATTTTGCGTGCCTAAAAACAACCATGCAGGTCTCCTCTTTGGATAATTACATTTGAGGCTCTCTCTGGCGAGGAAGAATAGCACCTATTTAGGAATGATTAACCTATTTAATACAAAACTGCTTTATTTTTAAAATATTGAGGAGCCGGAAATGCTTAGTATTTATGCAAATATTTTTTTCTTTTTAGGATACTTATTGTTTTGTATTTACAAAAAAAAAACTTTTCTCTCTTTAATGTATTAGCCAGATTGTATATTTAGCTTAGTAATTATTTCGTGAGCTACCAAATTACTGCGTTTAGAGAAAAGTTCCCAGAACGAAATTTCGCAATTCTTTACAAACTGGATCGTGGAGCATATGAAATATCTGGCAGGCCTTCCTCAAAGCCTTTTTCATAGCTTTCTTATTTGACAAAGTTGCAAAAATTACGTCACCTTATGATTATGTCCTTCACTGCACTTTTTTTCTTTCTTGAAATTTCTAAAATAATTGTCGCCTTCTTGTTTTTCTATCGTGTGTAGAGCAAGGGTCCTCGAAGGTGCTGCGTTCTTCTATTTCACACTAGGCACTGAAACATAATAAAACTATTTCTTCTTAATTGACTATCTAGGACAGAATATGAGCAAATCAGATGATTCCATTTTTTAGCAGGGCAAATGTATTTTACGATACACAATAAAAATGATATAAATATATATCAGCAACTTACGACTTCTGTAGAAGCGTTCTGAAGAGCTTCACAGCAATGCCTTCCCATGCGTTGTTCGTAATGCCGCAGCTGTATATATATAGGACAAAAGGGGAGTGCATGAGGTGCGGAATTTTGCATCTCCTCCGAGTTTATCGCAGGGCAATGATCGAGGAAGATACGTAAAATCTTGGTAGCCTATTTTCTTATCTTACATAAGAGTTCCCTGGGGCCGCCGATAATTAATTTAAACATATGCCCGCTGAGAACAAAAGTAAGAAAGGCATTTCGAACTTCATATTAGAATTCGTGAAATAGCTTGCCACACAAAAAACAAAAAAAGACGATAAAACTTTGTTACTCGCTATGTTTCTATTACACTAAGGGAGTGCCTTGCTGATTAAATCAGCAGGCTCGGCGCTTCGTTCCTTCGAAGGTGTCCGGTGCATGAACACTATGTTCTCATATAACTTCTAGTTCAAAGGTATGTCGTGCAGATGCATATTAAACTATCAATTCAAATTGAACTTAGGATCGAAATATTTTGTTATTTTTACTTTTTAACAAAAAGCATGTGGATAACGATTAGAATGGCTCCTTTCCCGCATACACTAAAGCCGCTCTTTACTTTAAAAAAAAACATTATAGTAAATGATGCACCTTAGCCCAGGACAAACTAAAACCGGACAATCCCGCGCCGCGTCTTAAAGAACATTGTCAGCGTCATTTCACCATTCTGCTTGTGTTTAAACTTTATGAAACCAATTATGTTTTGGTATAATCACACCTGTATGTGACCAACTCTACAATGGGTTTTTAGCGTTTACATATTAAAACAACGCAGTGAAAGTTACACCAATAAGGTCCGTGCAGGTAAGTTATTTGGCCCTGATGAGTTAGATAATTCACTTCACTTTTTTCATTACTTTAAGGTTTTATGTATTAGAAGCATTTTGTAAGATCAACGTTAGGATGTTTAATAACTGCATGGTGCCACAAGGAAGAGGAAAACACGCTGTTGCAGGTGTCCTGACAGCGTCATCGTTCAGGAGCGTGGTGTGGCAAGTTAGAATTTTTTATTTATTCGTTTATTTAAAAGCTCCCTCAACGCCCAAGGGCATTACAAAGGGAAGCGGGTTACGTCACTGTAATTCAGCAACACTCAATAAATAACAACCTATCAATGCAATGCAGTATGTACATATTAGTGAAATGCTGAATTGTGAACATTGTTAATTCAATTTTTAAAAGCGGCGCTATCAGATATTGATACCCCACACGCTGGAATGTAGTTCCATAGCATTGTGATTTTGAGTATGAATAAATTGTGCAAAGCTTACGGAAGGTACACCCATCTTGTGTTGGTGATCAAGGTGTGGTGATATGTGAGGAGGGGATGTTGGTAGCATGCCACTCAAAATATGATTGTGGTAGTAGCTTTTGTGAAAAGGCACATGGGGGAACATTTTCTACGCGAGGCAACGTTAGGCAGGTTCAAATTTGATTTCATGGATGTAGCGCTGCTGGTAGTGCGGTGATAATTAGTAAGTATGAATCGAATGGATCGATTTTGAATTGCTACAAGTGCAGAAGTACGTCAGAACCGGAGTCCCAAATTGGAGTGGCACATTCCAGTTTAGTGCGAACAAGCGTTTTGCAAAGAAGTAGTCTAAGCGAAGAGGTGACTGCCGACACCTCGCGATTTAGTAGATGTCTAGTGTCTGACTCCCAATCATCGTAACATCCTTTAGTGGAGGTGCGTGGTATGCTGAACGTCGCGGCGAGTTGCATCTGAATTTGGGCCCCGGTAAGACAGCAAGGCAAAGCTACCAAGTTGCTTCATCGCTATGTGGGCCCCTTCAAAATCGTGTCCCGAATTTCCGACGCAAAGTACAAAGTCCAACTTCTGGAGCCCGTGCTTGACTGCCGTCGAACGTCAACAGACATTGTCCACGTTACCCGCATGAAGCCACACTACCCACCCTTCACATCATATCAGTGTTGCGAAGTTGCCACTCTAGCAGTGGAAGGATTGCGGAATCATTCCGCATTTTTGCTACCCTGGAAGAGAATGGGAATGGAATGCCGGCAGCGCTGGGAGGAATGGAATGGGAACGGAATGAAATTAGATACCATTTGCCCGGACTAGAGTGGGGATGGAATGGGCTACGTTCTTATGCGAGCTGTGTCGATTATCATCTAGGGCTTACGGGCTCATGGCGCAATTCCCTAGCGCATGGTTAGTGGTTCTTGAAACACTATCATTGCGTTGGAGGTGACTGACGGCTATTGATTGTATCAGTGGCTAATGCTCCTTCGAGGATGAAAATGGCGCGCCCTCAGTGAAGCAACAAAAACTAAATAGTTGTAGACAGACAAGGTGTCGTACTTGGCGTCGCGAGACGCCAAGTACGACACCTTGGGGTGTCGAACTTTGGGGTGTCGAACCGAACCCCAAAGGAAAACCGGAGCAAAACCATTATTTTAAACTGAATTCGAACAAAAGAGTGGCCCAAATAAAACATTTGATATTGAACCCGAACAGGAACGAAACAGCAATTGCACCGGTTCATTGGAAACGGTATCGCGTAATAAAATATGAGCCACGCCTTCTTGCCTGGGACGGCGCCAGGCCAATTATATATTTGCTACGGTGGCGTCTGTGACTCAGTTTTTTTTTTTTTTTTAAACAAACGGGACAGACAAGAAGACAGCTAAAAAAAGATTAAACAAAGAGGTATATTTCACGCCTTTGTGCAGTACGAATCGGCATCAATGGGGAGGCGTACACTTCACTAATAAGGCCTCGAGTTGTTTGTGGGCACATTAAGCAGAATAAATAAATAAATAAATAAATACGGCGGACCTTCTATTTTTATCTTATTTTTTTTTTTCACCTTACCTTGGACCGCAAAGAACGCTACGAGTCACCGAAGCCAATTCATAGTTCGTCAGGTGTCACGTGTTCATCCGGTTGGGCGGAGCGACGCGGTGAGGGCGAAATCACAAGACAAGCTGTAAACTATGGATCGGCTTGCGTAGGTCGCGGCGTCCATCCCAGTGAGACGGAATATATCTGCCTATGGGCGAAGCCACGACGGAATATATCTGCCTATGGGCGAAAAAGCTTTGCTTTGTGTCGAGTGTGTATTTTCTTTTCTTGTTGCTAAACATGTATTCCTGAAGGAAGGGGAAAGCGAACATAAACATCAAAATAAAAACAAAAATATGACGGCTGTTATTGCTTTTGTTCCGCTGTGGTGTGAACTGGAGGCGCCAAGAGGCGAAGCCACGACGAGCGCGACACTGCGGCGCCGGTCGCCAGTCGCCCAGTGCCCTGGACGCTGCTTAAATAAATGATTTTGTGTGTGTGTGTGTGCGTTTTTTAGAAAGAGAACGTCGCCCGTTGTATTTTTGTCCTTTTTTGTTTTGTTTTACTAGTCTTTCGATTGACCTTCGCTGTCTTACTCCTCTTCAACTCAGTCGTTAGAGCAAATTGTTCGGGTGTGCGGTGGGGGTAGTTCGCCGTTTCGATCTGGATGAGCATCGTACCGGCGTGCGGTCGCGTATCAGTACTGCGTGAGCCCGCAAAGACCCCAGGCTAGCAGTCCTACTCCACTGGCTAAATTTAGGGGAAGGAAGAGGAGGAGGGATGCGCACCGCCCTCTCTTTGTTGTCCTTCCTACTACTTGCATGCCTATTTTCCTTTCCTTCCGCCGGGTGGCGGTCCCGTCGCGCGTGTCTAGTTTCTTCCGGCTCCTCGGGGCGGCGATAGTCCTCGACATGTGTGTGCGTACCTTTTGCCACGATGACCAACGATCAAGAACATAAATGTGTTCGTTTGGTTGTGGTCAGAGTTTGACTCACAATCATCGTAGGATTATTAAGATTTTATGACTTTGAGTCCCCCCCCCCCCCCCGAACCGGGGAGGCTTATGGCCTGAATGTCCAACGACACTGAATGTCCAACGAGCCTGAATGTCCAATCGGTCACGTGACAGGCGAGACGGAATGTCCAACGAGACGAAAGATCCAATCGAGACGGAATGTCCATCGAGTCTGAATGTCCAACGAGACGAAAGGTCCAATCGAGACGGAATGTCCAACGAGCCTGAATGTCCAACGAGACGAAAGATCCAACCGAGACGGAATGTCCAACGTGCCTGAATGTCCAACGAGTCTGAATATCCAACGGATATAGAATGAACCTTGCAAAGAATTGAGAAGACATTTCTTTGTTGAATTGTAGGATTACTGATAGTTACAACAGTGAAAAATGCGTTCGGTGAAGTGGGGAACCGGACATTTCGGTGCGGAAATATCGGTACGCGATCATTTCGGTAAGTGGTCGCTTCGGCACCGGGCTTTTCAGTACCGGGATTTTTGATGCACGGCTATTTTGGTATGCCGCTGAGCTTGTCCCACTTGACGTTGCCTCTGTGAAGTCCAGAAAATGAAATTAAAATTATGTTCGTATATTTTGAAGACTTCATAAAACCCCAAAAACAATGCATTTATTGTTCGTTTTATATGACTAAATATAAAGATAATTTCTATAATTAAAAAGAAAAAGACGTTTAAAAGGCCACACATGCTACAAGATCAAAGACCGAACTCGTTGACCATGGAAAATCTGTCACGCGTTTGATTTTAGAAGGGTCGTTCTTATGGAGCGGAAACAAATGTGGGACCCAGGAGCGTCCTCGGCCACCGTTTTTTTTTTTTTTTTCGTATTGTACGAGTTGTTGTATTTTTCTTATTCGTGTCCCTAGTGCTGCAAAGATGATGTCCCTCGCATGAGAGAAAAACGCCTGATTGAATTTTTAGTATTACAATTATTATTAGGTGAAGTCGGTGTAGTACGTGTAATTACACTAAATTGTAGTTTTTGTTTTCTTCTGTTTTACGAAACGAACGTGAAGGTTTTAGACATTTCTGATTGGACTTCTCGGTCCCCAGAAACGAAAATTCGATCCTCATATCAAAATCAGTGATAGAATACAACGTTCCTTCCATTAAGCCTTTGTGCAGCTAATTTCCTTAATTGGTGAGCTTTTGTCCGGTGATTGTGCGGAGGATTCGGCACATTGACGCTTATGGC